ATCCCCTCCGTCCCGAGCCTCCCCTTTCCGTCCTCTCCTTATATCGATCATCAAAATTAAAACGTCATCCGACCCGAAATCTCGGTTGCGAAGTCAGTCCATTATCACGAGACGGAATTATTGGTTCGCGAAAAATCCGGTACGCGCGCCGCTCGCGTAGATTACACATTTATGGAGATTAATTCGTCGATTAAATCTCGCGTAAAGGGTACGTGGTAGATCCGCGTTCCCGACGGCCTCGCACTACGTACTGATGGCCGATTTGAATAATCAATACCCACTGCGGAAACGGCGCCGGGAAGCGAACTTATCCCTGGATAGTCGATGCTACGTACACCTGTATATGCTACAGTAAAGTATATAGGCGTAGAGGGCCCTAAGGGCTGCCGACATTTTCGGCTATGAGCCCTTTAGGTTGGAAAGTGGAAATACATCGAATAGGTTGGTACACACGGTAGATTGGTTACGTGGAGTCTCGGTATGGAACGCCTCGTGGGATTAGCAAACTTTCAAAACACGACTATCCGTATTTTCCAGCTGCCGATAAGAATCTACATTTACATACGCGTAACGGAGCACATATGCCCATCGGCGGGAGTAATCTTCTTTTGAAACTTCCTGTATCCGGAGTGGCGCTGCTTCATTATTATTATTTTTTTTATTTCTTCCTCCAATAAATCATGGTTATCTGCACTGAATACAGAGTAGCATTTTCATCGTGTATTCCAAGGACTTGCACTTGATTCTGAATATACAGGGTGATCAAAGAAACGACGAAGGAAAAAACTCGAAGAAGAAAGAAGCCTTGTACGATTTATCTGGCAAAAAAAATTGAAAGATAGAAAAACTTGTTAGAAGTTACAAGGATCAGTAGTAGATACGAAAGAGAAGAATCAAAGGGCCCAGGACCTGATGAGTGCTGAGCTTCGCTGGCGTCCCGAAGGGGTGCGCTGGTGAGGCAAAATGGCGTGGAATTATTACATGTCAAAGGAAGGAAGCTTTAAAGCTTCGGGAAGACTCAGAAAGCCGAACTCCAGGGGAGAGTCAAGCCCCGAGGTGGCTACAGGAAGTTTCAAGAGTCATAGTAACCAGACGGGTATAAGAAGGTTCTCGAAGGTACCAGAGGGGCGAGAGGGGTGGAAAATGGCCTCGTATTACTCGGGAAGATTAACGCCGCTAAGAGGAGGATTAAGCAACTTGGCCAGCTCCCGAAAGAACTTATGTCCGCTAGGAAAACCCTAACTAAGTAGCTAGAAAGCTGAAAGCCAACCTACCATCATCGCTGTAACTTAGCGGATCTCTCTAGTAACTTTGAAGCGGGTGCTAACACACATGAGAAAAGTCCCTAGGAACTTTCGCGTAAACGATTCGCCAGAGAATCGTTCCTTGCGCCGGTACACAATGACGTCACTGGTAGGGCCACCAGTAGTACACTAGTATCACCGATACTAAGAGTAGCAGCAGTAGTAGTAGTGGCCAGTGGTCTGCAGACTTCGAGTGTCTGATGTGTTAAGCTTTAAGTTACTTCCGCTGGGAAGTAGACGGAATTGCAGTTTTACTTTGGTTATCTGAACTCCGGTGATAACGGAATGAGGGTAGGTTTTTTTTTACACGGGCAAGAAGGTTAATAATTTTAAAAATGTACAAGGACTTATTATCCTATATAAAATCTGTCTTAAAAAAATTTCTCTTCTCTCATTGTGAAAGAATATTAAAAATGAAATTGCTCCTGTAGGAATTGAACGGGTAGACATGGGGACGATCTCGAGGGGTTGATTGGCAGACTACTCGACGCGCGACGAAATCAAGGGTTGTACCCTCAAAGGGAGGGCTGGGTTCGAAGATGATTTCTGAAGGGTGTGTAGTAACTATGTATAAAAGTATATGTTATATATACAGAATATATATGTATACAATATATGTGTATAATATATGGAATTTAGTGACGCTGAGTAAGTCGAGGAGCCAGAAGATGATGGAATTGCCGCATTCCGCCCGTAGTACCCATTACGATCAATTTACGTGAAGTTGTACGATATTACGGAATCGCGGAATTGATCCAGAACGATAATACAGGGGTGAAATAGCATATCCCATGTATATCTATATCCGTCGCTACTACTTATACCTCACTCCATAAGGGTGCTAGACATACCAACTGGCATAAGGTACGGAATTACCAACGATCAGACTCCAGATCGGCTATACCACCCTCGGGATTAAATCCCAGGAATGCACTTTCCAACCCTTCTTAACGTCCCTTAGAATCCGGCATCTTCTTACCCTTTGCCATTTTCTCTTCGTTCCGTTCGATTTCGTTTTCCACTTCCGCCAATTCTCCTCAAGTAATTTTATCCATCGATAATTTTCCAATCAGCTTTTCAATTTACACCTTCGATCTCTAACGCTCGTCTTCGGTTGGTCAGAAATACGACAATAAGAATTACTGACTCAAATACAGTTACGCAAACGTCGAAACCAATCACGGTTCTCGTATATTGATTTTCGAAATTTGCAATTCCAAATGTTCACCGCCTTTTGCCAATTCCACTTCCAGTTGTGGTCACGTTTACTTACGATGTCAGTAACTGGGCGCATTCTAAAGCGACATCTACAGTTTAGCTCACACTTTGAATACATGGGATGCTGGGTACTACCGACGGTGGCGCCACCCTCTCTGGTTGCTAGTTTGGTACCAACATCTGACTGGCGCGACAGTCACGTGTCCAATTCAGCGTGAGCCTGCCAATTCAGCATAAACCATGTAATAGTACCGGAGACAGAGCAGCCCCTGTCATTAATCATTAAGGCGGCCTTTCAATGCGTCGAGCCTTTGCGGTCCATTTGCGTTTACTTAACGCGGATGCGCACCGTGTAAACGTGGAAGCACGAAACGTGATTTCAACAGAAAGTAAGAACAAAGAAATCTCAAAATTGGTACAATTACCTAGTCCGGAAACTCGAATGAAAAAGGAATTGAAGCATAGTTCCGCGGCTTCCGTATTACCGCGTGTAACGTATGAATGGAATTTCCGAGAATTTACATAGTGAAATTCGAAAAGTTTCCCTCGTGAAATTTCCCCGTGGAATAATAGAAAATTTTGTTAATTATCCTACGCACGTTTTATAACATCGACTATGTGTACTATATATTATCAATATACTATTATTCTCATATTTGCCTGGTACCAAATATAATTAATAACATTAACCCACAGAAATATCACCTCGTATAATGCAACTATCTACTAACATCCAATATAGCCTTTAATAGTTGCGATAGTCATAGTCAGTATCCACCCCTATGAAATATTGTTATACGAGATCGATAGAAGGATGCCAGTGAAATTTTCGAAATTTTCGAAAAATTCCGTCTGTTAATGAAAACACAAAAATTCCGCAAAATTCCGCGTATCAATTTTTTAATATCAATGACCGTCCGAACGTTCCAAGCTATTCGTAATGTTTTTTTTTATCCATTTTCATTTAAAACCGGATGTGGCGTCTGCGACTGAGCCAAGACGGATGCGCACTTCCGTTAAATTCACGTAACGTGACGTCACGCGGTCGTCGCGACAGAAACGACTTCCGTAATTAATCACAGAAGGGTGTATAAGCGGGGACAGGGCCGGAAAGTGGTGTGAAAAGGGGGTGGTACTGCACATGCGATATATGACTATACTCCAAGTACCTATAGCTATAGTCGATATGTAAAGGGTCAGTAGATGTACATACAGTAAGTACGGTTAAATGCATATATGCATATGTATATACACACAGAGAATATAGTATACAAGTACGTACGTAGCCAAGTAGGGGTTGGAACAGTAGAAGGGGCAACGTTTACGCAGACGTAACAACCGTACGTAATACGTGCCTGGTAGAACACGAGTGCATTATGTAGGTGTGCATGTGCGCCAGATGCAAATGCATTTCCACAGTGCAATCCTGGCGGCATCCCTTTAACCAAGAACCCTCGAGAATGCACGGGACTGTGCGACAACTGCAGTTGCATCTGTACCGGTGGGACTCCTGACTGGACCACGGTATACATATAGTACGCCAAGGTACAGTGTGCTACAATGTAGTATAGTATGGTCTGTCCCATTGCCAAGGCTTGCAGCTGCAAACCAGTGGAAGGCAGTACAGGGTGTACCATAATATATGAGTCGAGAATACAGGGTGCATTGATACGGCGACGGGGGGAAATTTTTGAAAATGAATTTTTTGTCTTTGCTGCAGGTGCAGAATAATAATGAGTCAGGTTGTACGTGGAGTACGAAGTGATAAGGACTCGTACGTCGTCAGACGTGTCTGACTATTGTGAATATTAATTTATTTGATCTAAAAACACATGTCTATCTCGAAATCGTTTTTAAGTGTCTGTGAAATTTAAAAAAAAAATCAAGCTTTGATAAAAATTTTATCGCTCGCCCTGTATGCGGAAATCCATCAGGCGTTGCATTGAATTGTACACGTGCATCCGAGAACTGGCCAATGATGTATTCTTATCGCGCTGACTGCGTGGAATCCCACATTCATGCTTATCGAGCCTGTTCATGCATAATGCACTTACTACCACTATACCGCAACCAGCACCCACCTCTCGTGCTCGATCTATGCCTCAGCACAGCCACCGTATCTTTCTAACCCTATCCTTCTGCAGTTTTTCCCACCATTTTTTTTCCCAACATCCCTTCATCTCTTTAGCGAAACTAACTTCACTCGTTCGAACGTACCAACCCTGCAGCCCTATTTTAATATATAAAGTGATGAACGCACATGCGTGTATTAACGTAAAAGTGCAACAATAATGTGCAACCTGCATGAGGTTGCACTGGCAAGTTCGGAATGCATAAAAAGTGCACTGAATCCTACTTTGATTATTTTTATCCCAAAAGAATTTTACAGTTGACTAAAAAATATAAAATTATTTTAAAAATATATTGCCTCGCTATAAACAATTTATAACTCGAAAATTGTGTGTTTCTATGTTGCAGGACGCGGAGCGGTTCTGGACAGTCAAGGACCAGTTCTCGTCTCGGAGCCCCGTTCGACCGTCGAATTTTCAAATGACACCGGCGCCATGATCCATTGCTCAGCACACGGGAGTCCGGCGCCGCGCGTCGACTGGCTCATGGGCGACGGTTCTCCAGTGTTACCAATTCCGAACATCCGCGAAATGCTGGTCAACGGTTCCATGTACTTTGTGCCGTTCGGTGCTGAAAGTTACAGGCACGACGTCCACTCGGCGGTGTACCGATGCCAGGCGTCGAACAGCGTCGGTCGTGTACTGGGACGGGAAGTGAGCGTAAGAGCAGGTAGGTGGTGACCAGACTGTCCACCCAAAAGTGCAATTTATTATTTACCAACCGAACCAGAAAAAAATCAGCAACCGCCATTAATCGATAGTAATAAAAATTGGTACAACCTCCTTGAAAAAATAAAATCAATCCAACAATAATTAGTTACATCAAGTACAGTATCGTTCAGTCGAATTGGACTGTTTCGCATTACGGCTACGCTACTCGTTAGACTTAACGGCAGTAGTAGTAACCAGTGGCATGTCAGACCGTACCAAAGGGGTGACCTATTGACACTTACAGATTCGCTTAAAATAAGATGAATGATTTTTGTGGTGGCTGAACAGCCAGTAGCGCCAACTACGTTTACACCACGTCTAGAAGATAGATGAGTCCCAATCTCTTATGCCGTCACGTTTACACACATAGCAAGGGATACGCACCAATACGGATTCGCAAAAGCAACTCACCCCTTACCAAGACTGGAATGGCTAACAAACCGACGCCGACTGCCAAGATCAAGATTTCCGCCATACCGCTTCTATACGAATCGCGCCAAGTTACGTTCACCCTTCAGATAAATGATTCAGACTCCTCCCGGCCCAGCCACCCTCTCGCTAACCACCCACTTCCGGCCTGCCTGCCAGCCAAATGGCCTTGCTTGCCTTCTTCACTTCCTTTTTATTCGCAGGCATCGTGCCGGCGCGGTTAACGTTCCCGATAACCTGCCAAGAATCACTTATCGCGTTTAACGAGTTAAGGCTGCTTGCGGGACGGCCTGAGACGCTCACGGACGTTCGCAACACTCACCGGCCCTGACGTCCAGAGCCATTCTTTGATTTCAAACTCCCACGAGACCCTTAGTCGCTTAGATCCATTTCTAGTGGGATTTTTATATTATAGGGACCTCAGGTGGTGGTTGTAATGAAAATGTGAAAATATTGCGAAAAAAGTTATATGTAAAAAATAAAAATTTTTACTTTTGAAAAATTTTGTAAATTCTATTTTTGTCTTTTGATTTCAGTCGTCAGGCAAAAGTACGAGGTGCAGGTGCAGAACGTTCACGTACTGCCCGGAAATACCGGTGTGCTGAAATGCCAGATTCCTGCGTTCGTAAAGGAATTCGTGACAGTGACGTCATGGGTGCAGGATTCAGCATTCAATATATACCCTACTACGCATAGTGGTGAGTAATAAAATATAGTGCATTCATTTTTTGGCATCGATGCATAATAAAGTTCCCGTATGCAAGTCCTATTGACTGGCGTATTGCTTCGTCTATGGTGAGAAAAAAAAGGGCAGAGGAATTTTATGGGGCAACGATGTAAAGGAGGATAAGAGGGGAGGGTACGGAATTCGATGAAATTTATGCGAAATCCATGAAATGCAAATCGACCAGATGCATGGATACCCATACAAACTGCAGTTTGCACTTTTGGTGCATAAGAGTGCAGTAAGGCGGACATAAATGAATATACACATACCAGGTGCAAATGGTACGTTTAACAGGGCCGCAGTTGCGAATAAATAATAGTTCAGGTGACTATTGTTTATTTTGCGACAATTTTTTTTTTAACAGTATACACAAATTTATAACGTGCAATTTATTTAACTTCTTCTGCCACAACGTACGGGGATGCTGGTGCATCGTGCGTCACTGTAAATAATATGCTCGGACATTCTCGGCAGGACTGAGACACATTGAACACTTTTTTGAACGATAAATCGTGAAAATTTGTCCGAACAATTTTTCGATAAATTATCTCCACGTGCCAGATAAGAGCGAGAAGGAGAAAAACAACCGTTAAATTTTACAAAGTGACGTCATTCAATTTTTTTTATTAATATGACCGTAGGTAACTTCTATTTTCCCATTTTTTTTTATTCGTCTCCTCGTAATTCCACGATCGTTATCACTCGTACTCCTAAGCCTACGAGTATCTCACCCTGAAATTGCATCCGAGCACGGGGATGCACCTACAAGCCGGATGCGTTATGACGCTGGCGCAGCTGTACTATGCACTGTGTCTGGTCCAGTCAATATCCCGAGTTAATTAGGGGTTGAGAGTACGATTCAAGTGGTTGCGTACGCTGCAGCTTTACAAGGCGCTCAAGCCCCTCGACCCCCCTTTGAATCCTGGTAAGTACCACCCCTGCATGTACTCACCCTCGTACCCACCGACGCACCATAAAGCTCAATATGCGTGCACGCGCAGTGGATTGTGGGTGCATCGTTGTGCCAGTGCGTGCAGATGCAGGTGCAGTCATTCAGTAAATTTGAATGTCCCAAAACTTTGAGGATCGTAGGGGCTTTTATGGGCTGTACAGAAACACGTTTTACGGTTGAAACGAAAGTATCGCAGCAACGTGAATTTCAATAAAATTTGACATATTGGAAAAAATCGGATAAAATTCATGAACTGATTATAAAATTGGCATAATTATAATCTTGGCTACCACTGGGGGTTCATTGGGGCAATTTGATATCTGCCTAATTAGGATAATTAATCGACACGATTAATTGACCCAATCGAAGTACAGTTAATTACAGAGAAATTAGCGCAAGTGCGTAACGACCGATACACTATAAAGCCTCTCGATAAGGCGAATGATAAGACGATATTATTTCGCTAATTAATCCAGGATTAATTAACAGGGTTAATTAACAAATGAATTCCCCATTAATTATCTCGAAGCTTAATTATTTCTAAGATAACTAGGAGTTACGAGAAGGCTTGCTTATCTGTTACTGTGTCTACATTATATTAACCCAACGTACCGGACGACGCATGGCCTTTCAATTGAAGGTACAGTCACCTTCGAAACTCTTAGCTAAATAACTGTTGCCAAAAATCGAACGGGTAACCAAACCAGTATATCCGGTCGCCCGCGTCGTATACGAACCCAAAGCCATACGACAAACAGAACGGGGCTGCCAACGTATCAGGACGGCAAATAAAGGGAAACACAGAAAGTAGATTTGCAGACGCCATTGGCAGGGACTGTTCGAACGTTCGAACAATATCGGTTCGAGAATCCCGAATCCTGGAACGCGTAATAGCAGCCAGAAACGCCATCTCTCGGTGGATTATTGACAACAGGAAACTCATTAGGGTTTCCTAATTAACAGGCCGAACAACCCGCACACTGGTACAGGCTTCGATGGGCACGTATACTCGTACCAATAACGTTGCTCGATATTTACGTAACGATGAATCTTAATGCGGATACCTGGTGCTTTCTAAAATCGGGAATACCAAAATGCGATAATCGGTTAATGAGACGGACGAAATGCATTAGTTCATTACCTTGCTAATTAATGCAATAAATAACGAGAGACCCTAATTACCTTGCTAATCCACGGGATCCTATAGAAATTGAAGCAACACCCCCTGTACGCGTGATGTCTATTGTTTTCGAGAAACGCGATTCACGAAATTCCATAAAAAAATTTTCCGAAATAAATGTACAATTTACGGAAAGGAGGTAAAGACTTTAATGATCAGACACCGGGGACAGTGGAAAATGGCGAATTTAGTGGGATTCAATCGTGTCCGCCCACGTACAGGGAATACCTACTTGCTTCTGTACCAAGGCTACGTATATCTATATATACGAGGGAGAACAAGCACTGGCGTAGGACGTTCAAACATGGGGGGCTCAGCCACAATGCAAATTCACTGGTGTGTTCATCCGCTGCACGGAAGCACGGACACAAACCCACGTATAGAACGTGCGTGTGCTGTGAATGCATTCCCGTTACTTATCCGCTACCAGTAAAATCCAACATTTGTATTTGAACCCTCGTGCGCTATCCCTGCACTTCCGGATTTTACTGAAGAACTTCCTATGCAGTTCGATGCACCTTATTGTATTGCCATTAGCTATTGTACTGTATTGTACAGTGTTATTACCCGGTATGTCAAATAATAGTCTATCGGTCTGTCGTGGTAAATTCATACGTACTGATTTATTGTAAATGCACTTTTTAAGAAAATCACACTTGGAACTGGACGTGTATTATATTATGTATAATTCTGTGACCATATACTACGCTCGTGTAAAGAGGGCTAGGAGGAGTTTAGGGTGGATTTTACGAGGTCAATTTTTCGAATAAATAATTTTTGAAATTTTTGTTTCCAACTTATCGTGCTGGCAGATAGTTCAAAACCACACTAGGAACAGAAGGGATTGTTATACCATGTACCTTTGTAATACCCCTCGGCATATTGAAGGTAAAACAACCTTTCGTGACGTAACGAGGGAACTTTCCAACTTGTAATAAAAAAAAAAATCCATTTCAACGGCTCCCGAATAATTACGCACTGTGAAATGACACTTCTTGAAAAATTCATAATTTTGAAAATTCCTGTCACTTATCAATTTGTGCTTTTTTAATGTCTACACTTTTATCAACTTTTGATCCATTCAAATTTTTTTTTATTTTTGTAAACTTACTTTTGCATAACCAAAGTTTGTTGTAACTAAAACAAAGGCGGGGAAACGTATGGAATTACCACCTTGACTTACGGCAGTAGTTAAAGTCCGTTCCAAGTCAGACGAGGGAAGTCATAGCATTAGCGGTAGCGGTATAAAGTGATAGAAGCAAGTAACGCGTCAGACATAATTCACGAAATGGAATAAAATGCAAATGAAGCGGGTCGAGTCCGCACGGGACGCGTCGCGACGCCGTCATCCTCGCTCTACGATATTCCTATTTAATTTGCATTAAATTTAATTCCATTTAATCAACTGCTCCTTATTACCACAAATATTCGGACGGGTCGTCTACTCTGACTTGCTTATCAGATACTTGAGGGGTTCCCCGACGTCGGGGACGCTCAGCGTCTTTTTTATCCATAACCACACAGAAGTCCCCGCTTTTAGTCTTCTCCCCCCCCCCCCCCCTTT